CGACACACTATTTCAAAAATTAATGAACGAATGCATCTTCGCCGCCGGATCCTTGCTCTGCTCCCAAACTCCTGCCACTTTTCCGTTGCAGTCTGCCTCTTCCCCAAGCTTGACATGTCTGCTGTGTGCAACAAGGCGCCAAGGCCCTCACCACCTGCTCGATGGGTGATCCGGTCCAGGGTGGTGACGATGAAGGTCCCATGTCTGTGGCCATGGCCCTCTGAAGCACACCAGTGGCCGCACCATCCCCGCCGCGGAGATTGGTTCCTAACCTCCAGCTTGTCATGACGACGCCCACCAGTTGTTTGTTGAAATGCTTCGTCGCCGCCGACTACATGTTGATGCCCGTGTCGATGCCAGAGCTGACACTGGGGTTGAAGCCACAAGGGCAAGTGATCAGGCCAGCACCATGGCCTTCATTCATCGACAAGCATACTGATACAGCTTGCAACGACATTGTCGAGCTGCCGGCAAGCGCCGCCACTGCATCAAGCAGGGAGGTGGTTCCCTATTCGACCTTGCCACCGCTCCCCTTCACACTTGTGGCGTCCCTGATGTTCTGACATGGTAGCGGACATGCAGGCCCCATTGGGCTCCATGAAGCATCTTTTTTCTGTGGTTTAGTATCAAGGGTTGTCACTACCTTGGTACCACCTCCGGTCACGGGTATGCATTCAAGTACCGTTATTTATCCTGAAATTTCTGTGCACCTGCTCATTGTCAGGCGGGGGAATGAGACTCGAATGGCACTATGCTCTCTGAAATTAGATGTTCTTCAGATAGCTTCCTGCTTGGGTACTGTTGGGTCTGGTGCTTGTTTGCGGGAGATGTTGCTGGTTGATATCTATCATGAGAAGGTGTGCCAAGAGGAGCTCAGTTGTTGTCCTCAGCCAAACTCACGTACTACAATCCCTCAACCTCCTGGGCAGGCAAGAAATGATATGTGGCAATGCGTTGCTGAGATATGGGAACAGTACATCATGGCTTTGGATTGGCAATCAGTTTAACTCTATGGATGGCACCATGTTTGTTTGATAAAAAATATTGAGGAAGCTCCAATTTGTACAGAAGATTTCAAAATACACCAAAATGGAATTCAAGGTGTGGGTGATTGTTACATGTACAAGGAGAAACAACCATGCATGGTTGGAGCTTTATTTGTGGCAGTTGTTAGTGCGAATTTTCATGGATTGTTGATTATTACCAAGAACACCTTGGGCTGGTACTTACACCTACTAGGACGTGTGAAGAAGTTAGATACTGCAGGTGAGACTTGTTTGACTAGAGAGTTGGATGTGCTGCACATACATGACTGTATGGGGATGGTTGTGGAGTAGCCTTGGCCTTCATGGAAAATCAGTGGTCATTACAATGGTGGTTTCTTCAGAATGCATTCTCCGTAATATTTTTTGCAACTATAGAAAATGTGCTGCACCTAATGGATTGGTGGTCTGTTATTCCATTTGTACAGCCAGCTCATGCCTTTGATCCCAAGCCTATTTTTCAGACAGAATGCGCAGCAGTAGTGTCTTGGTGGCTTACAACTCAAGAGATGTGCTATTTGTGTCAGACTGCAGTGCTCAGTTACAAGATATGGTGCACACAACCTGATGGGAAGACATCTTCTGTTGCTGAAGCTAGTACTTGTGGCTCACTGAATTGGATCAAGCTAGTGGTGGCGGAGCATCAGTTCTTCACACAAAGCGCCACCTCCCAAACAGCAGATGTCACAGAACAATGGACCATTATATGAGGTGTTGTCTCCGGATGTATGCGGCACAAGGCACATATGGGGTTATGTGGCCATCCCCTCTTTGCCAAATGTGTAATTGTC